ATATACTTCAACATTGGAGTTTCACCACCCGTTTTACGTGAAGGGCGTAAAAATCCTTGAAAAACGCGATATTTACTCTATGCAGTAGTCGTGAAATATGTTTTTCATATCACTAGGGTGAAACTCCATTATCGTTTATTCCCCCCAGAGTGATAGTACCACCATAATACCTGGAAGAGTTTAGTGAGTGGGAAGTGATGGGAAGCAGCCAATGCCTCGATCTTCTCGCGAAGTTGCATGTCGTGAAGTGGCTTACAATAGAAAAACTCGACGGGGAGGGCGTAGTAGTAGAGACCTACCTCGTATTTGTTGAAGAGGGGTTGGATGATTGCCGGGTAGACGAACATCATCACCACAACGACAACTTGGGCAAAGACCCAAACGTACCTAAAGTGAACACTAAGGACTGCTACTGATGATGATCTTCGTACACATAGAAGTATTCACCTCCCCAACGGATCAGGTAGATGACAGGTGGGACTAGGAGGAATACAAATACCATGGAGATGATCTCGGATTTCACAAGATCTGTGATGAACCTTAAAACAAACAGGGAAAGGCCTCGGTGTGGAGGGAAAATATGCACATGGTCAACTACATGTGTTGGTGATGACAATATGAAAATTCTGAGATTATGAAATTTGAGAAAAATTAAATGGGGAAATTTGAAATTTGAGATGAAATTTTTCAATTATGAAATTTGGGGAATTCTTATTCTTTTCTTAACATTCGCGCCCGAATTCGTATGTAAACTTGCTGAGATCAGCTGAGGAGAAGAAACATATACTTTTCCAACACTGTACTTACAGTTTAGCGGTCATCCTGTTGAAGCCATGGCGTTGCTCGATAACAAAAGTGCGGTATGCTGCTATTGGAATAGCAATAACCTGATCGCCATATAAAGTCGTCGGGCCGCTTCAAGATTGCCTCTACTACATTGTTCATCCAAGATCCAACTATAAACCAGAGTATAGTACGCATATACTCATTTTCAGGGGAAACGACAGTACCTGAGGGGGGGGGACTTCCAAAGTCGCAGATGATCACAACAAGAGCCTACCAGTCCACACGAAGAGAGCGCCGGTTACTCTTAGTGTCACCCAAATGTCGAAAAGCATCTCCAGAAAGGATACTAGCATTCCAAAAAGGCGTTTATCGTAGTTGTATCTGAAAACGAGGAGTAATTTCAATGGTGCTATTTCGTACTACTACTACTTTTGCGATTTCACGAAAGTTTCCTCATCGACTAAGCCTTTAACTTCATGCGGCATCTGAAGAGGAACGAAATTGAAGTTGTATCCGCTTCACGTGAAATAACGTGATACTAAATATGGAGCATTGGATAACATACAATACGTTATTCACTGTTTACATTTTGTCACTAGTGTTTTTCATACAATGGGTGAAACTCCACCGAGCGGTTATCACCCTTACCTTAGTGCCAGCATTCTTCTTCAACTGCCTAAACTCGAGATACTCATCGATCGTGTTCTGAATGAGGACTGTACACAACCAAGCACTTCGGAAAAAACCTGTTGCTGTTAGAAGGGACATCATCTATAAACCTAATGTGATGATCATACACCCAGGTTCGATCCCCGGTATCGACATCCAACACAAAACCCATATTCCTAAACAATTATGAAATGCAGTCCGCGTATTCTTGACTAGTGGAAACCACAGCTAATAAGCGATATCCACTACAGTGACGACCATCGCTGCTACCTTAGGTCCATACTTGTTGCCTCATTACTACCCCTTAGGTATCGGTTATCCCCTCCAGCATACCCCTAGTTGATCTCCGAAAGTGTCTCGGCTTACCACCCCGAGCTTCTGCTGGTGCCTCCTTCGTGCATCTGCATAACATACCCCTCCCCGCTCGGCAGCCAACTCAAACACAAATCCATCTAGCTACAACATTGACGACGATGATGATGGTGATGCACATCACATGTATGGATATATTCAACACCAGCTTTACTCATCCATCTCTTCCTCACACTCCTCCTCCTCTTCCTCCTCCTGCTTAAGAGCTGAAAACACACTACCTAAGACCAGACCCACATGCCCATCTACTACCAGCCATAGCTTCATCGCGTTCCTTCAAGGACTTGTCTACAACATCCAATAGCTGCCTATTGATTCGCATCTCTACTGGGGACATTTCGTACTTGGTGAGGACATTTTGACGCTCCCTAAGGCCGCCCTACTCCTAACAGAGAAACCTACATTTTATTACTTATCCCTCATCTGCCTCTCCAAAAGCTTTCTGTGCTCAACATTAAATTCGCGTCGTTGTTGAGCCCGCAACGCTTCGTTTTCTCGATACCTGACGTCTTTGGATGCAGCGTCACGCGCCACAAAATTCCCACGCTTTAGTGTCGCTTTCTAAGATCTGAGCTTGCAGGTCCTTCAGCATCTGATTGTGTTTCTTACGAGATTCCCTCTCGGCCATTTGGTGGAATAGATACCTACCACAACTCATAAGCCAACGACCCAGGTTCGATCCCCGGGGCCTCCCAATACTCCTGCGTCTCCTGCCGGATCTCCCTTAGCCTCTCTTCCTTCAACCTCTCTCTCTCCTCAGCTCTAGCGTTGGCCTCAGCCAGCTGCCTATCCGCTCTGTCCTCCATCTCATTCGCCTTAGCATTCTGCTCCTTCACCACCTACATTCGTTCGATTGTCTTATTAAATATACGAATTCGAACAGGAGACTACAGGAACTAATGAAAATTATTTCCAAAATTTCCTCAGAAGTCACCAACATTTGCACATTTCCTCACACTGCCATCTACACTTGCTATCATCACCCACAACCTCGTTACCGTATCTTGCATAGTTTCCATCAGAGCTTTCTGTCGGGCAACACGAGCCTCTAGTTCATCCTTCCTAGCCTGACATCAATCCCACACAGTGTACTTCTCCTCCTCAAAAATACCTCCTATTACCTTTTCTTGCGCATCTAGTATCCTGTTGTACTCTGCCATACTCTCGATATCAAATTGAATTTGCCTCAGCCGCTCCTCCTCACGAATCTTCCTTTCCTTCACATTCTCCTTCATGATGGTCACCATGGCATCCTTCTGGGCCTGAGAGAACTCCCATGAGAAGAGGTACAAATCAGAGAGGAAAGAATATCTTAGGCCGCCCCTACAAAGATTCAAAATAGGTCCGTACCTGCTTCCTCTGGAGTATCTTCTTTTTCTCCAAAGCCATCTCTCTGGTAATCTTCGCCACCAGCTTAGCCTCCTCGTTCCTACACCGCCAGCCTCCCAATACCACTCCATCATCAACTCCCCTCACCTGCGCTTCTCCTCTTCTCTCTCCTGCCTGGCCTTATCAAAGTTCATCTGCAGTTCCCTATCCTTTTGCTCCTACCAACCAAACTCCATCTATTCTCAACCGAAGCTGCTGCTGACCTTAATCGCTTTATCTCGTCTCTCCGCATTCACCTTGTCCTCGTACTTCTGCCACTCGTCGATTTCGATTAGCTGATTCTCCTTGAACCTGCAGAGGAATTGTCAACATGCCATACCACTCCATCGCCACTTCTTCTCCTCCTCCACCAGCTGAGCCTTGCGCGAACGAGACTCTCGCATCTACAACGGCAAGTCGATCAACGCCATAAAGAAAATATCAACTCCTACTTGTCGTCTCAAATCCTCAGCCAAACGTTTCTTCACCTCCAGCTCGTTCAACTTCTGTCGAATGCTGTCTTGCTCATGCAGATATCGCGAGTACCTGCACACCGAGAGGTCCCAGGTTCGATCCCAGCACCCGGCATTACTCATCCAGCCTACTCCAGTTATATCTCCTCTGCTCACCTCCCTCAATTGCCCGTCCAGTCACACTCAGCCCCTCCTCATCTACGACAAGCCCATCACCCACTTCACAGAGTAGTAGCCTCTACCTTCTGGAATCGCCTCCATCGTGTTAGTCGCTCTCTGAGGCCCCTTATAGCTGCTACCACCAGACCGTTGACTGTACGCACTAACCCCACTGACGACCGAAACCTGATCGAACTGGCAGAGGTAGACCTAATCCTACACTCCTTCCTACTCCATCATCTCCCTTCAAAGCACCACAATCGACCTTTTTCTGAATTCGACGCTCAAGTCTATTGAGATTCGCCTCTGACATCATCGCGATCAGCGCAGTATGAAAGATTCCATGTATTACCAGTAACGGGAATATTGGTGTTGTCCAAAAGCCTGTTGACCTCCTTATTGATCATCGCACTTTTTTCACTACTACAATCATCTTTGTCGGAGTCCTCACGAGTTGAGTGCTTCTTCTTCAGCTTGTTGACGATCAAGTCCTTCATCTCTTCGCGCTTCTTAATAGCCAGCAGCTTCTCTCTGACCACATCTCACTTTCTGATGAAAAAACCGTCAAATGCCTCCTCCTACCGTCTAGCTAGGGAGATCGCGGCAGAGATGGCTGGCTCGTCATCGGCCTTGGTGTTGGGTAGCTGCTTTGGAGGATAAGCCATAGTAGTTGAGCTAGAATGTGAGGAAGATCGCGAAGGAAATTGGCGAGATCTTGCAATCTTGCTAATTCTTGCAATTCCTCAACGCTTCACCGCGCGCGTTGTTCCATCCTCAACGTCAAGGTGGTCGTCGAGCGGAAGCGTCAAGTGCCATAAGTGAACCTGATGTGTATCTTGCATGCACAACCTCAAGATTCCTCTCAGTTTCTACACTACCGATATTCAGATTTCTATTGGGCATTCAGCCACATGTCCTCCACTACTGCTATATCCCCGCCTGAGGCCAGTCCAGAGGCTGACCGGGTCGGCTCGGGTAAAGAGGAGGGGGAGGAGCCGAAAGTGCTGCCTTGTCGAGTTACTTGCCGTGCTCCCAATGTTGAGATTGATCTGCATGCTAGGTAGTAGGGATGATGTACATTTTCGGACCTATTTTGAATCTTGCACACCGACACCTAAGATATTTCATCCCATTCTAGAGGGAGGAATTTCTACATGCTTTCCATTAGTGTATTCCGACGGCAAGGAGAGCTCACCAATTCGTCGTCATCATCATCATCCTGTTCATACGTCCCCGATGGGGCTGTGTTCTTCAATAGCCACTCTGCGTGTGATGGTAGTAATTCCCTCTCATACCATCTCTCAGAGAACTCCTCATCCATCTTAGGCGCTGTGACGCTGGACGAGTCCGATGGGGGTTCAATACTACTAGACTGCAATAGGATTGAAAAAGACAGACTGATTGTTATGTGCGGCAGTTGCTACAACAACGAGAACATTCTTGACGTAAGCATAGATGTGTGGTGCTACTTGTGATGGGGTAGATGATGCGCTTCAGTGGAGTTTCAAACACTAGTGAAAAATATATATTCCACGACTACTGCATATATCGCGTTTTTCACAGAGTTTTACGCCACTTCACGTAAAATGGGTGAAACTTCGTCGTGGGAAAACGCATGGTGGCGACACTATGAAAGTTATAGGGGCAATTTTGGAAAAATCTTTATTTTTTTCTGTAGACATCTACCCGAACTCATATTCAAACTTCTATAAGTAGCTCTGGAAACTCCTGAGCTTAGCTGAGGAATGCGAACATTTATTCCTACTCCAACACTGTATGGGAAACTCCTGAGCTTAGCTGAGGAATGCGAACATATATTCCTACTCCAACACTGTATAGGAAACTCCTGAGCTTAGCTGAGGAATGCGAACATATATTCCTACTCCAACACTGTATAGGAAACTCCTGAGCTTAGCTGAGGAAAGCGAACATATATTCCTACTCCAACACTGTATAGGAAACTCCTGAGCTCAGCTGAGGAATGCGAACATATATTCCTACTCCAACACTGTGTAGGAAACTCCTGAGCTCAGCTGAGGAATGCGAACATATATTCCTACTCCAACACTGTGTAGGAAACTCCTGAGCTCAGCTGAGGATTGCGAACATATATTCTCACTCCAACACTGATGTAGTTACCTGGACTGGAGTTCCTCATCAAAGCCGACGTCGATGGCAGGGTACTCTACCGAGCTACTAGTGATGATATATTTGAAAGAAAATTCGGAGCTAAACTAGCGGCACAGGTGAAACGAAACAGACAATCGGGTAATACGAACGGGAAGAACGGCTATGCGTTGACGGCCCCACCCGATGAATTTAGTAGTAGAACTTGATAACTTCGCATTATGGGCTCTAGTCACTACGGAGGGAGAATTGCTGTTACAGTAAACTTAGAGTTATTGTTACGATAGAATTTTCCTATATCTCAGCTGCAAGTTGAACGCCGTTAATATTCATCATATAGTATTTGAGCTTCGCCACCCGTTTTACGTTAAATGGCGTAATACTCTGTGAAAAAAGGCGATATTTACGACCTGTAGTAGTCGTAAAATATGTTTTTCACATCACTAGGGTGAAACTCTATAAAATATAAATACTTATAAGTAGTGCTTAATACTAGTTGTCGGACGCACGGCAGAAGTCGGTATGAAAATTAGCAAGAATATATCTTGACAATCTTCTCGTTATCATCACCGTGGCACAAGGCAAACAGTGGGATTTTTACATCGATTCAGAGTATATATATATTCGTATATCTATAAGGAATAAATAATATTCATAATAATGGAGTTTCACCCT